GAATAACATATATCTCCCTTAGGATGATGCTATAAAATCTGATATCTGAGAATCCCTGTTCAATAAATTTTCAAAGAAGCGAGAAATATCCTTTAGTGGTGCATATGCAGATATGCTGGCAGATCACAGGAGAGTTTAGGACTATTTACAGCAGCTGAAAATCTCTCTTGCTAAATGTTGTTGTCATTTCATAATCAAGTGAATAGCAAAGAGCAGTCTGTAAATTTATGTGCAAACTCCCATCTGTGCCAGAAGAAGAAGAAGAAGCAAGTAATTTCAGAGATGCAAATAAAGCTGCCACGCAGCACCTGAACTATATAAAAATACTGGCCATTGATACAGGAGTGGAAGATTTTGGGGTTTTGCACTGAACATATAGAAGCATTGAGTAAAATATATCCCTGTGTTGTAAATGCAGATATATCCCTTACTTTGTCAGGAAGATTGTGAAGACTACGAATAGTGGTGTTTACAGCATTAGCTGAGGAATCTAAGAGGTTTCTCTGTTAAATTCCCTTTTCTGCTAAGGGCTTAGCAAGATCACTTAGTCTTTCTGTACCCTATTTTTTCATGTTACAAATGCTGGTAACAATATAACATCATGGATGTCAATAGGTTGTAATATATGGGATTGGACTAGGAATTTATTTTCTATTTTGCTACAGCTAATATATTTTCTTTGCCAAACATTTATTACTCTAGCTGCCAGAATAGGTGTCATTAGGAATAGAAATTTACTGCACAAGGCAGCTTAGCTTTTGAAAATGCCACAAATAATGAAGTATTTATGCTAAGTGGAAGAAAAAAAAGATACCTCAATTCTGGTGGCCTTCATGCCATGTAGACACCTCACTGCATGTTAGGCAGTATATTACAGCTTGGTGAAGTCAGTATTTTAATTTCAAACCATTTTTGAGGCATGAATTTGAATGCTGCTGTGAAATGCCTGTCTCATATTTTACGGTGATGTGGCTGCCTAAAAATGATTAAGAAGCACCCAAGCACAAAAATAAAACCTGTTAGGTTCTGTCCAAATTGCTGCTGGGAATAGTCTAGTGTAATGATCACTTCTGAAGTCTGGAATAACATCAGGGAAGCAAGCCTCACGTATTCCTAAATATTTGTGATAGCCATCTTCTTCTAAATGTTTGCACCTCCTGCTTCACTCCTCAGGACTTTCTTTATTTTCTGTAAGCATGAGGCTTTCACCAAGACTTTCATGGCAGTACTTGGCATTTGAATAACACTTTTCACTTTCAAGATATTAAACAGTTTTCCTTTAATTAAAGCAAGAACTAAGAACTGAGAAAAAAGTTAAAGGGTTAATGGAACTTTGGTGCATATACCTTATGCTTTTGATAATCACACCAATTCCTGCTGCTGTTTTCCTAACAATGGAATTAAGCTGACCAAATCATTATTTCACCACATCTTTTAACTGGTTAGTAATGTAGCAAGCTCTGTTCCCTATTCCAGTATTTTATCCACATCTCATAGTAGTTACTGGGTTTAGTGTATTTGTAACTTCAAAATGCATTCTGTATCCTGTGTAACTCAGGGTCCTGTTTGTGAAATGCACTGTCTAGAAGATACTGAATAGAAGTTTTCTGATTCTGGTGTGATCACAATGTTGGTGACAGCTCTAAAGTGGAAGTTAAATAATTCAAACTGATTTTTTTTTATTATAAAATATTGACTACCCCAGTTCAAAAGTAGACCAAGTCAGCTGACTTGGAAAAAAAGCTTTACTGACACAGAGAAAGCTCGTGGTTTTGTCCTACAGTATGCAAAAAAAAGGCTTAACAGTGGATGCAAGCAGCTAACTGAGCATATAAAACACCTGAAAGAACAGTGCGTTAAGATCATTTTTCTAAGTTGTGAAGAAAAAAAAGGAAACTGTTAGTGTTCAAGACTGTTAGATAAATGTCACTAAAATGTTGTAAGGTTATTGAGATTATTATTCTTTAATACTGCAGTAAAAGACACTAAAAATTATTTACAGCTCAGTGCTGCGAAGAACTGCCCAAGCAACCCATGAATAAGCAGCCTCAGCCAGATGAAAGCATATAGTCATATTAGCAAGTTCAGAAAGCTCACTTGCTCTGCTGAGCAGCCCCTCCACTATCTGCAATATTGTATTTGTGTTTTGGGGAGATACCTCTAATTCATCACAGAGAGAGAGAGAGCAGCACTGTGACATGTCTTCTTGGTTTAGACCCTCTGGATGATTTGAATAACCTGTTTCTATTAAACATCTCATTTTGGAAGAGTACTTGTCTGGTCCTGATACTTGCTGATCCTTCCCTAGCTGAAATGACGGTGCTCATCTCTCAGAGAGGGCTGTTAGGTGCTCTGTGCAAGGGTGGGTTTCTTGTTGGACTGTGTTGCTTATGTTCTCCTCTCAACTCATAGTATTCAGCAAAGGTGCTACTATTTTTTAACTTTTCTTCTGGTATTCTCCCTGGTGTGGCAGAACCTGTCTAAGGTGTCTAACATATCCCTTAGTGTGTTATCCTGGTGAAGAAGCTTGCACTAAACAACTAGACTTTGCTGAGAGCTCACCTTGACTCTAATGAAAGTTTCAGTGCTTGCAGATGGTGTCCTGTAAAACTTGGATGTCGTCGAAAAACATGAAAGGGCAAAGAAAAAAAGGCATCTTTTTCTGTCTGTTCTACCCAGTTCCTTTACCAAACAAGAGGTCTGGCTGCATTCATTTTGTGTCACTTCAACTGACGCTCAACAGATGCAGAGGTGTTATTTTTATATACGTCTTCAAAACCAAGCACAAACAGAACTGTGTGGTGTTCATCAGGTAGAAAATTAGAAATGACATGTCAGTCTCTTACAGGAACTAGATTTTGCAATCCAAGCTGCCCTCGCAGCCTGAGGTGGTGGAGATGAGTGTGCCCAGGTCTCTCTATAGCCCAAAGTAGTCAACAATGCCTGGAGTAAAGATCTCCACGTACTTTATAGCTGGGCCAACAGCCAACCAGCAAAAGTACGTTTTACAGAGCCAGAAATGTTATCAAAGGTGTAAGCTCAAGTACAGCTGTTACCAAGATCTGGCTCTTAATTTGAAATGTTTAGGAAGGATCACTGAAGTCAGCTCTCATGCCATTTTCATTTGGTAATGGAGTAATCAACATCTGCAGAGCATCAGCCACAAAATCTTTCATTCAATGAAAAGTGTGCTCAAAAACTCTCTTGTCTGAGATCTGTAATCTCATTTTAATTAGCAATGCACATGATTACTCCAAATCAAAGCAAGTCAGTGGCAAACATTGCCATCTGCATTCATTGTTAACATCAGCCAGCACGATGACAGACTCATTTTAAGTCAATATGTGGGCTCTGAGGTGCAATGTCTGTTCAAGGACAAAGAATATTGTCTACTTTCTCCTCCTTAACTTTTGAAAGACAACCTTGCTGAATATGGAGCATTTCCAGTTTGGCATTCCCATCAGGAAATGTTTTGCATCAGGGATGTAAGAACCTTGCTTATTCTCTGTAACAGAAGATATTGCCCCTTGTTTTGAGTGACTTAATTATGCCTGGAATCGGGATTGTATGATGTCTGCCCAGCATCCAGCATGGCCAACTGTCTGGTTAGGGGTTTTGAGCTGTTGAACAGCTTCCATGGCAAGGTGCACAATTAATCAGTGAATTTTTAAGACTGATTTTCAATACGGTGGTAAAACTCTGACTGCTGCCTGCTGCCAAGGGCAGTGCCCACAGGATGATGTGTTGTGTGCCTGTTTGTATATTCACTGCCATCTTCCAGGGATCTGGTGTCATCTGTTGGTTAAGAAGAGGTGTCTAATGACACTTAACTGCTTCTGGATTTATGAGCTTCTTCATCAGATGTCCTCACAAGAGGCTGTACTTGAGAAGCAGCACATGACCTAGTACCACTAAGAGTCCTCTATGAATGTAAATATTTAATAAGATAGTCAGGTTTTTAAAATAACTTTTCCACTGCTAAGCCATTAAATTTTTCCAAATGGTACTTGCATTCCAAGAACATTTACCAAAAAAGGAACAAGCATAGTGAGCTTATGGATTATGTAAAATTCAGCAGTCTTCGTCCTCAGAGAAGGGAATTATCTGGGCATTTCTGAAGATGTTAGTACAAGACTTTAAACTCTTTAAAAGCAGACATATTTCAAGTAGCATTTTTCCTCCTCCTGAACCAGATTTGCCATGCACATTTGGTGCATATGAAAGCTTTAAATGATTTTGCTTGCACAGTCACAGTTTTGATAAATTATTTTAAAGTTCTCCACCTTATGAGGAGTAGCTTTGAGTGGTTTATATCTACCCATAAAACTGCTACAGTCACTTTTTGCAATTACACTAGAATGCACAGCAATTAATTACATCAAATCCTTCTTACAGAAATGTTCACCAGTGAAAAAGATTGACATGGCTTTCTTTCTGACAATGAAAGAGTAGGAATTATTAGACACTTCTTGGGATTTAACTGATGTAATATTTCTGCAGCCAGGATTATTTTCTCTATAGGAAATAAACATCAGTTCTTGACAGGTATGATCTTTAAACAATATTTTACATGTGGAAAATATTCCCAAGTATTTTTCTGTGTAAGAAACCAAGATCTGGATTTTTAGCTAGATAGCACCAATGGGTGACCTGCACTTGCTAGGATTCATGTGCAGGGTCTTACTTTCAGAAAAAGGGATGCACCTACCCTGATGTAGGTGCCAGGCATAGGACTGGAAGGCGGCATAGGCTGAAAATTGGTATTGGATTTTGCCAGTTGCTTTCTCTTACAGGAAAAAAAAAAAAAAAAGAAAAGAAAGGAAAAGGCTTCTGTAAAGAGTAACTTCACAGTGGAAAGAGTTTTCCTCTGAGTAGGACCTTTCCCCTTGGAAAAGGTTACCTGTGACATAAAATACGATTACTTGTTCAGAAGTACACGTAGCCAGACTGATATAATAACTGATATAATAATGCCTTCATATCTTTGTTTCCTTTCCCAGAGCTATGTTTGACTATGACAAGAGCAAAGACAGTGGCCTCCCAAGCCAAGGACTGAGTTTCAAGTATGGAGACATCCTTCACGTCATCAACGCCTCAGATGATGAATGGTGGCAGGCGAGGAGGGTCACTCTGGAGGGGGACAGTGAGGAGATGGGAGTTATACCCAGCAAGAGGAGGTGAGTGCTGCCTCCTCCTTCTTACCCTTGGCAGTTATTTTAAAGTATTTCTTTTGGGTTTTTTGCAAAGATGGGGTGCATCAATCTACTGAAAAACTGGGGGCAGTAAAGGAAAATCCCACAGGTATTTCAAGAGTTAGAGGACACTAACTTAGTTTTTGCTGTAAGATTTAAAGCATTAAGGCTGTTTATAACTGTAATGAAAAGAAACTCAGAAGGTGACTCAGTTACTAGTGACTTCATAAAGAAAGGGGAAAAGAAGAGATTGCCATCTACTAAAGAGCTTCAGCAAAAAAAAAAAAGGAATAACCAGAACCTGAGTCTGGGAATTTGCTCTCAATTTGAAGTGGAGCACATGTTTTAATGTCAGGGTGATTAGCCATTGCATCAAACTGCTGAAGGATGTAATGAATGGCTTGACATTTTCAAATCAAGACTGTATGTCTTTCTTTTGAGAGTGTAATAGCATTAAACTTCTCAGACTGTGTGATGTAAAATATGGTGCTAAATTATATAATGGTCATCTTTGGCTTCAAAATCTGTTAATTTAATATCTGCCTGCCTGGAAACTGATGGATAATCAATACCACAGTAAATTTTTCATATAATGTAAATGAAGGCACTTTCATCTTCTATCCAAACTAAATCTGAATCTTTTGTGTCTGTGATGGATTCGTGGTGACTGTCGGAGTGAGAACAGATATCTCAATCTCCCCTGTTGTTTGTATTGTTTATTCTGCCTAGATGCTTTTATAAAATTGGCCACAAGTCTCTGATAGTATCATAACTAGCACACAAACCAGTATTACCTCCTGGCTCTGTTGATAGTTGATATAAAAAGGTCAAGAACTGAAAGGGTAGGAGGAAAATTAAATCCATCAAAACATATTACTTTTCTCTTTTGCAGCAATGCCATCATACTGAGTATAAACTTTCTATTCCTAGCTATTTCAGCTTTAGCACTAGTGTAAAAATGAATATGGCCATTTTTTTATAGAGGGAAAATGGGATGCTTGGTGCTCCCTTGAGCATCTGCTGCAGTTTCAAGAGAATTGGCCAAGGTACTAATAGAGCTCATGGTACTCATTGTTCTAAATCGTGTAAAAGTAAACTAAAAGGCCATCAAATACCTTGTTGACATGAGCCCTGAAAAAACATTAATTTCTCTAATGATCATGTTTGAATAGCATCCACACCTGGTTTTTCAGCTAAGAGCCATTTTGCCATTTGTGTAATAGACAGAAATAAAAGGTTAGGTTGTAAGGTGAGGTTGTAAGTTTCAAAATGGAAAATGTGCCCATTAACCAGACTTAGTCTCTCGATATTGAAAAAGGAATACTTGCCTGCTATTCATTGCTACAGTAAATATTGCTGAAATTACATGATTGGATCATACATGGGAAGAGAGAAGAGTTTATTTAATGCTGTGGTAAGCAAGTGCACAAAGCTCGCTCCTGTGTGGTGCCTACTATGAAAAGGTGCAAAAAGCTGTCATACATATTAAAACAACTACAAAGGAAAAAAGGACAAAGCTAATTAAGATGTGGAATTGTATATCCTGTAAAGTAGAAAGGTGGTGTTTGCCTAATGCTTATTGGGTTACCCACACAATGATGTTTTCAAGGACAAAAGATAGAGGTTCTCTAGACAAGGTCAGACATATAAGAGAGCCTAGGAATAAGATGTGGCTTAGGAAACACTGGGAGAAAACAGAATTAAAAAAAAAATGCTATATGAAAATAGGGTGGTTAAAAGCTAAAAATAAGAGTCTTGAATTTTAAAAGATTCAGGTACAGTTACCAAGCTCTCCACTTGTCATCCTTATTCTTCACTAGTGAAGCTGAGTGGCCTGGGAAAATCAATGGCATCTGATTTTCTGTCTGCATGAATGCAACGATACACCTGAGCTGGAGTGGGAGGAAGTTGCTGTTATTTCATAAAAGGTTTCAATTGTACAATATTTTTTTTCCAATGCACTGAAAAGTGAGGACTGTTTCCTTTCTGTGGGTTCTGGATGATTCCTCAGTGTCTGAGAGTAATTGCTCTTGCCTGCATCTTCTGTGGTCATTTACACCACCCAAGGGGAGGATGAGCAATCAGTGCACACAGGGCTGAGTTACAGAGAGTAAAGCTAATCATACTCACCAGATTGTGCTAATTCAGAGTTCAATTTCCTCTGCAGGTGTGGGTTATTGACTGTAAGAGGCTTAATCTAAAACAGAGTACTCCTGGAATTCATTTGACCAAATATAGGCAGCTACAGTATGGAAATTCTCATTTAAGGTGTTGGCTCCAGGATGCTGTGCCTCTCTTTATATGGGATCATTTTTGTAAGGAATACTTTGTATATAATGGAGGGAGGGAGGGAGGGAGGGAGGAAGGAAGGAAGGAAGGAAGGAAGGAAGGAAGGAAGGAAGGAAGGAAGGAAGGAAGGAAGGAAGTCAGTCTGTAGCTGTTGGTTGGGCTTGTCCTGCAAGCTAAATTTGCCATGATGTTGTAAATTGAAGAATTCTATATTTGTCCTATATTTTTCAATCTGCAATTTATTTCTGGGGTTTGTTTAGGGTCTTGGGGGGTTATACTTGGAAGGGTTTTCTTTTGTTTTTAGATTCCTTTTTCTGCTTGTGGAATGCTATCCTGTGGTAACATTATATTTTGCATTTTGGGTCAGTGAGAGGCTATACAGATCCAGGAATTATTAGTACCAGGTTGAGTCTTTTAGCTGTCTGCTTTACTTCTATCTTACTTCTACTTCCCTTGACTTCTGTCCAGCAATAAATAGCTAAGATACAATTCCTACATTTCCCATAAGTTAAATCATTATGGAATAACTCTGAAATTTTATATATATAAAATTATATATATATATATATATATATATATAAAATAGCACTTCAATTTTATATATATAATATATGTGTGTACATATATATATGTATACAAATATATGTCTGTCTAGATGTGTGTATAAATATATATGTATATAAACAGACATATTTCTTCTCTGAGATGCTGTGTAATGGTAATTGCTGTAATTGCTTTCCATGTGTTTAGGTCTTTTATTTTTTTACAGAAGAGCCTCTATCATACAATGACATTTTAGCATGAGCTGATTAGAGAAATTGGGAATGATTAATCAAGACTCCTTACTCTTCTTCTCCTCTATGACTTATGTGCTATACCAGCAAAAAAAAATCATAATTTAGAATTATAGGGGAGCTGCCACTCATTAGCCTCTCCAGGTTTTTGGATGCATTAACTCTTAATGATTTAACAGAGTTTGAAAGCTTTTTTGTCATTAGATTTCAGTGCTTCTCCCAACATGTGGATTTTTTTGCCTTGTTTATAGTTAAATAGCCAAGTCAGGCTTTAAGAGAGAGTTTTAGAGAGCAGCACTGCAGCTGGAGGGTTGTTACTGAAAGAAGCAGCCCAAAGAAGCGAGGGTGGCCCCAAGTTTCTCCACTGATACATGCAAGGACCAAATCTCATGGAGCAGTGTGCCAATGACCTCTGTGGAGATTAAAGAAAATTAAATCCTAAGTATACTGTAGTTCTTAAATATAATTGCAACCATTTCTACACCTGGAAACAACATTTTGTTCATTTGTCAGTGTGTATTTATTGTCTGACTATAGCTGTTCTCCACCACAGGACTGCATGGCTAGCTGGGTAGAAACCAAACACAGTGATACACAGTTGGTGTGGTATTACGTCATGTTGGTGTTGGGAAGCACAGGACTTCAGCATGAGAGGCTGCAAACCACTTCAGTTGTGGTTTAACCATCAACAAATAGTTATTATATAGTGTTAATTAATCAACATTTCAGGCCAAATTTCTACTGGTTCCATATCTGCCCAAAAGATGTATCCAAGCTGTGTTCAAGGTGACAGCAAAATTCTATCAGGCAGGGTCTCCAAGGTGAGGGGACATAACCACCAGCCCTGTACCAATGTCTCAGGCAGCCTGCAGTATTGCCTGGGCACTATGGCTACATGTGTGAAGTGCTCCCTTATCATCCAAAATTGCTATTTATACTAGAATGACCAACAGAATTAGATTTACACTGCATTTTTTTTTTACATTTGGATAGATAGATAGATAGATTTAGATTAGAGTTTCCACATATCTGTGCTTTTGATAATGAGAATTTTTATTTGCCTCATTTCCCTTCTTATTATCCATTTAAAATAAAAAATCAGCTTCCTATAAAAGAGCAGCAGCAAGCTGAGCAGCCCATGTCCAAGATTCCCTCCCTATGGAAACAGATTAGTTAAAAGGAATTTTAAAAATGCATTAAACCAATATGCATATATGACTGTATTTCATTCCTAGACAGATGCACTGATTCAATAGTAAATAGGTTTTAATTTGCTGTAGCATTGATTTTACACCTCCAGTTCTTTTCACTTTTTCCTTGCTGAGTCTCTGAACAGGGACAAGCTCCTACATTGCAAGCCCTCCACAACAGCAACCTCCCACCTCATGAATGTCAAGCCTCGGTATTTTCTGTGGTGTGTGTATGTGTATATCTGCTTGACTCGAGTCTGTGCGTCTGGAATGCAGCCTGAGATGTCACACAGATTGCCCCAGAATGGCTGAGCATAAATTCTCACCACTTTTACTACTGCTCCCTCTGCAGCCAACAAGAATTTGGCCTTAAAACACTGAAATAATTACACTAATCTTTCTGTTGTCCTTCAGATGTGCAGTCACAAAACTGCTGTCAGACTGGACATCATGCTAATATACCCACTTTCAGGTAGTTTAGGTACATCTGACTGCCAAATGTTATGCAACTTGTATCTCTGTCATTACCAGCTGTAATAATAGCAGCCTGATACTTGTGTTCTCACAGAGACAACATTCTCCCCACAAGTACATGCAGCCATACTCTCCTGTCAGAGCAAAGTGGGGGGTGGGGGGGGAGAAATACATCAAACCCAATGTTTTGCAAGCATTTAAGGACAAGAAACAAGAGGTTTTCCCAGCACAGAAGTCCCTGTGGGTGAAAAGCCAACTTAAATTTGTTGTTCTGCTCAGCTTGGCAGAAGGGCATGTTTATTCACTCAAATGATTTTTATTTTTAATGGTTTCCTATAAATCATCCACCTTTCTAAATTACGCTTAACATTTTAATCCTTAGATGATAAAACTTTTTAACATCAGCTAAGCTTTGTCTAAAATAATTTGTCTGTCTATACTCAGTAATCCAATTGGAAAAATTTAATATGGAATGAAATTTGTATGTACATGTAAGTATAAATTCTTCCTCTGCTCTTGCAATGAAGTGAAACTTCTGTGCTGATGGAAAACAGCTGTTAGCTTTTAAACAGAATAAGGTTGTGCTACAATTTTATGAGAAGTCACTTCCTAATGTCAATCGTCTCCTCTTCGTAAATATTGACCAGATGCTGAGCTGTTTTCTATAAGCAAGCCACTGCAGATGGAGAGCTGAACCAGAGCACGTTGTCTCCTACTGAAAAATGCATGTTTGGTGCAAAAATGCCGCTTCAGGAATGCTCCAAAATAACTCTGAGAATGGGGATCTCTTGGTAAGCTCAGATCTCACATCTCACAGAGGATGGAAGGAATAAAAAGCTATGAACTGAGACCACATATTTGAATTATAAATGGTGCATACATATTTTCACTTATCTTTCACTTGATAGGCTGGCAAACGAAGACAGTGCAGGTGACCTGGAAATGGTGAAGCAAGACAAGAGACATAGCGAGGTTTTTCAAGTATCCATTTTACATTGCTTTCTTGTATTTCCTAATTCCTCACTCCAGTACTCATGCTGGATTTGGAAACAACTTTCATCCTGCAAAACACCTCAGTGCCAAATATGTGCAAATTAGGCTACTGTTACCGCTTTATTTCATTGTAGAAACAAGTTTGCAATTTGCATCTGTGTTCTACATCATCTGTTATTGAAGATTAAAGCATTTCTCGCTTGATATTCTATCTCAACTCTGTGAAGACTGATTAGTGCTTTTAGGAAGGCACTGACAGGACTCCCAGGGGTCCAGCACTGTGTGACCATGGTTCATGTCTTGTTGAGTTATACTTGGTTTTGTTCTTGTTTGCAGCATTTATGAAAGTTTCATTTTGAGAAATCCCACAAGCCCTTTTTCAACAGCTATGTGTGTCCAGACACACAAAAGCAGACAGGCATTGCAGTGTAGTGAGTGTTGCATCCCATTAATAAGTTCCTCAGAAGAGTAAGAAGAGAACAGTATCCTAAAGAACTCAAATCTTGAACTTACTAGTGAGGGAACACCGAAGGCTGAAGTATATTTTCAATGTACTGCTCCACTTCTCTGGCTTTACACGACAAGGAGTGAATCCTGACCATTTCTGAAACAAAAAGAGCCAAGAGGTATCTACCACCAGGAATGTTTTTAAGAGAAAGTGAGTATATAGAGTATACTCCAACTGTCCCAGATCTCAGATGATCTTAGATAATTTCCCTGTACACAGCAGTGTTTCTGCACACAGCTATACTTGGAGAGTGGGTGGGAAAATGGAGGTGAAATCCCCCTAAGTTGTGCCAGGGTGATGCTGTCTCCATATAGAACTCAGAGCTTTTCAGGTCCAGTCATGTTTGAATGTTGGATATAGGTTTCTTTGAACATTTCTTGAAACCTGTTTGAGTTTCAGTGACCCCTCAGGCACTTTTGAAAATGGGACTGAGCCATTAAGTTTTTCTGGAAATCATAGCCATGCATTCCTTATCCCTTAGGCATAGCTCTATCAGGCAAATACATAATTAGCAAAGGTCATGGCAGCAGTGTGTACATCAGGCAAGTCAGACTTGCAAGTCTGGGCCCTGCAAATCTGGGAGATAGGAGTCCTCCCCTTCACTTCATGTTTTTGCACAACTCCCCATAATCCTGCTTTGTCCAGCAGTGCTTATAGAAAACTGGTTACTGTGTTAAGTGAAACGTTTCCTTCTTAAAAGCAATTTCTTCAGCTGATGGATCAAAATGTTCAAATCATGGTCAGCTGCTGTCAGCCAAACCAATGTAAGTAATTTACAACCATATGCAATTTAGACATTCACAGTGTCAGGAGCTGCAAATAACCTTTTGGACCTAAACTCCTTTCCTCTTGGGGAAAAAAAGACAGCCAAGTTTCTTTTTCCTTAAATATAAAAACCTGCAAAAAAGTGGGAAAAGTGTTCAATTTAGTGTTCCTTTAACAAGTACTTTTTCTAAGAGCTAGATCAACAAATCTAAAAGAACAGTTATTAAAAATTTTGTGTCTTCATCATCAGTTTAGTTCCCTTTTCAGCTCTGTCTATGGCAAAAATGTCCCAGTAGCTCAGATGAGAAATCCTAAGAACACCTTAGTTCACTGAAGTCCTGCACCCTGACCATTTCAACAAAGACTAAATCTTTGGAGAACCAAACCTAAATTCCAGAAGTTCTCCTCCAGAGCATGCAAAACTAAAGCTTTTCAGAAATTTAGGTTCATTCCTTCAGGAAAAAGAGAGGTATATTCCTAACGCCAGAGCAACACACTGTGACAATGGAAATTCAGACAAAAGACATAAAAGCACAGTAGAGCACCTGAGCTGAAGAACTTAAAGATTATGTTATAAATTGGGCAAACCCATTTATTTTGTCCTTGCCTCCTTCTAACAGCTGACCCATTTTACTGACAGTTCAGGCAGCAACAATAATGTAGTCAGCCTGAGACACAGAACATTTCAGCTTGTAATTTTACATTTCAGCTAAATTACAAGTAACTGACAACAGTTTTATTCTGGAAGGTGTCATGCAAATTGTAATGGGAGGCAACATTGTGTGCTACCCTTAATCCAGTGCCAGATGATGAAATGTTTGGAACATTCAGTAGGCATGCTGAGCATATATGAAGATTGTTGTTATGTTTGCCTGAAGGACTAATGGCACTTAATGGCATTACTTAAATACTTCTCAGAGCAATGCAGAATGTTTCTGCAGCTCCTCATCTGTCTGCTATGCCTCTAGAAATGCCTCCACAACTGCTAAAGCAATTATGACAAACTTCATAAATAAGATTCACTCTTCAGGATTAATTTCCAAAATTTTTTTATGCAGTGAATAAGAAATTAAGTTAAAAGCAGATGTTTTAGGAAGCTAGGCAGGGCCGGAATGAGTTTAAATGTTAACACAGATTAATAAGTAGAATATTGTGTTCATTTGTGCTAATTATTTCCTCAGAAGGCATCCATCCTATTTAGGCAATTACACAGCCTCAATCCTATTTAGGCAATTACACAGCCTCAAGTCTTCATTTCTTACCAGTACTACCAAGGGACTTCATCTGCTAGCTCAAGTTTGAGACTGTTCATGTGTTTTTAATAACATAGATTTAGTTTGAAAGATGCACTTGAGCTGTTTCTATGTGAATATTCCACACTTACACAGAAATGCATTTAATCTAAATTTAAACGGTAGCTATAGTAACCAACATTCACTGTGTTTCAGGAGGGCATATATGAGCCTACTCAGACAGAAGGAAACATGTTGTGTTAATTATCATTCTATCAAAACTCTAGAATTTGTATTTTGGCAAATAATTATCAGAAATTATGAATTCCTACTACCCAGGCTTAGAAAGCACAAGATTTGCAGGCATGTATTCTAATGTCTCCTGAGCTAGCTTTGCGGGACTCGATGGAGATTTCCTACAGCAATCCCCTGCCGTAACAAACAGGGTTAGTGTTTCACTTTCAGGTAGATAATCAGATTTTTTACTTGAGCCAGTCAGTGATAGATTCTGTAGATGATTTTGCAAAGGTAGGTAACATCACTTTTTCAGTAATGTCCATATTAATCAAGGTGAGTAAAGACATGTCCTTGTTTCGTTTCTCTGACCATAGAACTCTAAATGTTGCCTGATTTTTGAACAGCTTAAATCATAGAGAGTAAATCTGTCCCCAGCATGCTTTTCCCAGGCTCCCTTGTCTGTTGAGAGGCAGTGCTGTTCTGCTGGTGTGGGACAGCCAACACTCCTCAAACCCAGTCCTGCATTTGCCAGAAAACTGCTGCCTGCTGAGGAAGTGCCCTCTCCTTTTCCATGTCTGAAATCTGCTTTACATGTTTACTTTTGGTGTAGTAAGCTGCCAGTGGTCTTGGGAGAGCAGCTTCAAATATTTCGTACAAAATGCTGCTAAAATCAACATGTGTTTCTTCAATTGTGTTTTCTTTCCCCCAGAGTTGAAAGAAAGGAGCGTGCCCGTTTGAAGACGGTGAAATTCAACGCGAAACCTGGTGTAATTGATGCAAAAGGGGTACGTAAATACTGAAACCTTTTGAAATTGCACTTTAAAATTGTTTTATCTGGAGTAGAAAAAATTCTAGCAACAAAAGGAATATTTAGGTTGTTGCAGCCAAGACCTGCAGTATAGTGAAATGTAGAGCAGAGATTAGTATAATATAATCTTTGAAATAATTAAATATTCTTTTTATAATAATACTGAATGAAAGTGCCTCCTAAGGGGAGGATACTAAGAAAACAAAGAGCATTCTGTGATAGCTGTGATTTTAGTCAAATGATGGATAGAGAAGAAAAGACTCTAAAAATGAATGGAGATGGATAGCAGTTTAATGAAATAGTACCAGAAGTGTAAATTCCCTGGCTTCAAAAGCTGTTAAATCACAAACCAAAGGTTGTAAGTTAAGGAGTCCTGGATTAAAAAAAAAATAGGTTTTGTGTGTTCTGCTTTGACAGTTGTGACAGACATTGAACACAGGTGTGTTTCACACCAGACACAACCAGACACAATGGCCAAACACAAAATGTGCAAGTTCCATTCCAGCAGTGATGCCTGGACAGAACAGGGCTCCTGCTGCTGCCACTTCACAGAGCTGCTTTATTGTGCCCAGGTCAGCAGTTCTCGTTGGCCTGATGGCTCCTATCCTGTCTGGTGCCATCTGGCTGGCAAATTTTACAGCAGCAGAAATGCCCACAGCCCTGGCTGTTAAGGTATATTTTTCTGCTGAAGTGTAGCTTGCAGTTGTAGCAGTAGTGAATACTTGACATTTGCAGGGATTTATTTTTGAAACCCATCCAGTTGGCATGTTTGGAATTTACAACTGAGGGCTTCTGTGAGCAAACAAGGAGACAGAGATTCAGCAGCCATGAGGGAAAAGTCCTGCTTGGCTGCAGAAAACAGAGCAGGGCCAAAACTGTGATGAGTGAACACAACCATAGGTAGGTGCTAGCAAGGGAAATAACCAAGTGGTTCAGCAGGTCCCTTCCAGACCTGCCGTTCCTGTGGTCTTCTGCCTAGTTTGAAATTCTCATTCTTAATCTCTTCTTCCTTCAGTTTCCTTCCATAATGGTAATACTAATAATTTCCTTATTCAGTCTTTTCAGACAGATTAGCAGGGTAAGAAATTCCTCTTCCTGTGGACACAGAGTTCCTAGCACAGGGGTTCCTAAGTCTCTACATGCCAGCAAAATAGTACTTCACTCTTGAAAATACTTCCCTGTCACTGCTCTACAGAACAATTCCTGAATTCAGTGCACATGTAGAATTATTGTTTGAATACTGACTGAAATATTGTTGAATATTGACTGAAACAAGTTTTCCAGACTTATAAGGCACATGGAACTGTGCATTACTTGCAGTTGCAGACAAGTCAGTAAAAAATGCATAATAAAATGCACTAAGAAAAGACTGATTCATCTCGTAACATTTCTTTAGAAGTCAGAATTCCATTTTTTAGTTTGAAATGACCACTCTCTGCAACCCTATATATTAATGTTGTTACTTATTTTGAGAGATAATAAGTTTTATATTGCCAGTGAAATCACTTCTTAAATGTCTATTTCCCATATATAATCAAAGCCACAGGGGAATAATTAATTCATACAACTAATGATCCATTTTCAAGTGATTCTGTCAAGAATTTAATTACCTCTTCATTCCCCAAATTGTTTTTCCATTTTTTGTCATCAGTGTAACATTAATCTTCCAGCCACTCAACATCAGTGCTTGATTCAGTGTTTAGGAAATTGTGTAATTACAGGGCAAGACCACTGCAGCCTTTTGGGACCAAACCCTCCACATGAAATGAGCTATTCAAGTACACACATATGTATGTGGATTAAAGGTCTTTAAAGGTCCAAAGCCATTTGGTCTTTCAGTGTCCAAAAATAAGTGGTATAAAATGTTTAAAAGTCCACACTTTACATTTTTACTTTTTTTTTTCAACTTTGGAAGACATTTAGCCCAGGTAAACAGGGCTGCAGTAGGCCTAGGAAAATTATTTTTTCTCAAAATCAAGCTAAAATTCCAAAAGGAATGAGTTTATGTGGGTCTGTGGCTTCTTTGGCTCATACATTCATGACTGTGTGGGCAAGTGTAAATGTCTTAGTTTACTCTAAAGATGAAACTGAGAGAAATCTTTTCATGGAATATTTTTAAATTTGGCCAGGAAATGTGCATGGAAACATTTAAAAAATAATTAAAAAAAAAAAAACCACAACCAAAACAACAATAACCAAAAAAAACCTCTGAAAAACAAAATTAAAAAAAAAAAAAAACTTAACTGAATGCAGAGAATCCTTGGGTGTTTTGAACAGGTAAAGCTGTACCTTACTTCAATTTTACCTGAATCATCTCACTAGCCCTTCCTCTGTAGAAGCAATGTTCAAGAGCTAATAATCCACAGCACAGGTTTCCTGAGATAATATCAGAATTTCTTTGAGATTTTGAAAATCTATGATTTTGAAGTAGAAACTGCCTCATTATTCTATGGGTTTATAAAGTCTTATGCATTTTCATCTGTTTGTGCCTCATTTTTTATCCCATATCTAGAGATTAGATGCAAAGACAGTGTTACCGATGGGGTGACATTTGTAGTTGATCAGCTCCTTGTGTCTCACTAAGGTGTTTAAGAATGCTTAGCAATATGGTTGACAAACCTGTTTGTAGGAAGAGTTAAAGGATATCTTTCCAAAGTCACCAAATTCTTTTTTTTCAGATCAAACTTGTATGTTACTTCCTCTATAAAATTAATTCAACACTTAAAAATGTGATTTAGAATATTTATATGACTTTAGATTTGTTTCATTGGACTCCTCCAATCCATGCCTTGTGAAATTAAAGTCTACAAAATCAGGATGAATACAGAAACAGGGAATGTGAATCAAAATTAGGGAGCTCTAGGGAAACCTTCTGGTCTCAAGTTTAAATAAGGCCATGGATAGTACCTTTGCATGCAATGCATAATTAAATTCCCATGCTCATTATTACAGGAGATTGCATAAAAAATAAGTTGAAAAAAAATTAGGTAGGTTAGCAAGCAACAAAAGCAATGACAACTTTAAAACTTTTGTCATGTAACTCAGAATATATTAATTGTTGATTTCAAAAAGAGATGTTATAAAAGGGAAAGGATCATATTACTTCTACTTTTCCTTTTAAACATCTGTTATTGGACAAAAAGCTACTTGGCTAACTGGATCTCTGGCTTCACCCAGTAAGGCTGCTTTTCTTTCATGTTCTGTTTATTCTGACCCAAAGAAATTTATTTGTTCAGGCTCAGGGACATCACCAGGATCCAGGCCCCATTATCACTTTTAAAGCTATCAGAGCAGTTTAGAGATGTTAACAATGTTAACATCTATGTAGTAAGGAAAAGAATACAAAAACAGTTATAAACAGCTTCATTTCACCAAGGAAATGGTGAATGCTTTTATATATATATATAATGCTTCTATTGTGTTGACCAAGTTCAGCCTCTATCTTCATTCTTATAATTGTTGTAGTAAACTTCAGCATTTTTTCTAGTTGTTACTGAAGGTGGCTGGTGCGTCAAATCCACCACTACGCTGCTTTGGTACCCTACAGCTACTCTCTGCTGCAGCAAAGGACAGGGTTTACAGGACACTGGAAATGTTAAAAAACATTTATAAATTCAGACAACACAGTTATGATTTCCTAAGCATTTGTTTTCTCAGTCTTTGAGGCTCACTGGTCTATGGATAATCAATGGAAATTGGAGCAGCCCAAAAATTTATGTCTGATATTTTTGCTGGAGGAAGCCAAAGAAGTTATGTAAGCACAAACTTCATTAAAAAGCATGTTTTATGCTATGTTGAACTCCAGATCATATCTCAAGTATCTTCTGATGCTCACCTTTGCACCAAAAGGAGCAGAGCATGTGAGTAGCTGTGAACAGGGTCATGGATCTACCAAAACACCATACTGAGTGCTTGGTAACTCTCCCTACCACAGGCTTCAGACTGAACAAAAATAGCCTTTCCTTTTCTAATCCTAAAACCTGCAGTTGTTGAGGGCTTTTCAGATTTTTTAGAGAATAAAACAGTGTCAAGTGACAGAAATATTGCAGGGGGAAAGAGATTAGCCAGTAATCTGCTTTTTTCTTGACTGTTGTAATTACAACAGGTCTTTCCGGAGACAAAAATAGCACCTTTTGCTTTTCTCCCTGTCAGATCACACACACTGCCTTGACTGTCTCTTGAAAATATTCTGCAGTTGAAATCATAGCTCTTGGAAAGACTTTTAGCAACACCTCAGTTTTACTAATATGTATGGGTGTTGCCTGTTTCCAGAGATGTGTTGAAATATCAGCAAAAATTTATATAGAACTTAATTTTATGCAGAGAACTGGTTTTTTGTACCACATGCCTTTTCATTTCACACCTTATCTGGCCAGTGACTCCAGAATATTTTCTTATGTACAAATACTCTATTTCATTTTGCAATGAAATGAAAGTGATGTCTCCCACAATTTCCATTTTTAATGTGTGTGTCAGAGTGTGGGGAGACATTCAGCCTATGTTTACTGGGAAGCATTCCCAGATGGGTGCCTGCCCTAGTGAGGATGCAAGGATGAGGTGCCTGCCAAGAAAAGGGTCTGCCCCATCCTTCCAAAACCCCTTCCAGCTCTGCTGCTCATCAGGCGGTCCTGGGCTGTGACCCACTGCACACTGCTCCATCACTGCCAATGAGGATTTTTCCTATTGACTTAGCTTGTCATCCACAGATCTGTACAGATTGCAGTCAGATCACCCACATCACACTCAGCCACCTCTTCAGTTGCCTCCAAATGAATTTATTACAACAGTCAGAAGTTTGATAGCATTTAATAATATTTCTTATGTGCAGATTCTGTTTCCAGATCCCACAGATACCTGAAATGTAAGGTCATCTTCTTGCTTTGTTGTCATTTTAGCAACATTGCACTGAGGCAGGAAAAGAAAAAGTTAAACCTGACTGAGATAGAGAATTTGGTATTGTGGGGTAAACAAAACCCT